CAATAAAAATATATATATATATTTTTAAAAAAACCTTGGTATAGACATGCTCGTTTAATCCAGCAGTCCTCGATTCCTGATGCTCAGCTTGTTTCCAGTTGTTCTCTGTTAAATAACAGGAGTGAGCATATTCGTGGTTAAATCTCTGTCCTCGTTCCTATTTTCTGGGTTAAATTTTTAGAGGTTGAATTTTAGACTCAAAGGACAGGCATATTTTTAAGGTGGGATGTAAAGCATTGTCTCCAGTACTGTGTGAAAATGTGTAGTGGAGAAAGCATTGGGCCAGGTGGGAGGAGGCCTGGGCTCAAGGCTGCACTGTGCTGTCAGCAGGGCAGAGCTTTGGGCAAGTTTTTTGGTTTTGTTTCTCTTCCTTTGGTTTCATTTTCTTCTTTTGTAAAATGAGCCCCGTTATGAATTTGCACAGAAGCGATAGTGTGGATGTTACTCGGTCTCTCAGTCCTGCAGGTAAGTATATAAAAGGAGGGAACATCTGCTGGAGTCCGCAGGAGACTGGAGTAACAGCGGGCTTCCCTTTATGCAATGTGATGGCTTACTTGAGAATTGCTTCCGGGTTTCAAAGAAGTGATTGCCGTCCTGTATTATAAGAGAAGAAAATCTAGATCACTATCTGAAATCTAGTTCATTTTTAGGTCTCTGATAGAGATTAAAGAGATTCCACACATAAGCCATGGGTGTGGTTCCAAAGCTGATTACTCCAATATTAATTTCACTCTTGTATTGTTACAGGGAAACTTTATGGTGATGTTCCTTTTATAGAAGAAAGACACAGACATCGGTATGAGGTATGCTTTCACACTAAATTACTGTGGAATATAGATGCTTAGTCCATGGGTCATGGGGGGGGGGGGGGGGGGGGGGGGGGAGAGTAGATACCAGAACAAGCCCAGGGCTCTGTTTTGAGGGAGGACTGGTGGGAATGGATGCTGAATAGGCTACCAATAGTGGAAAATAACTTGCTGAGTGTGGGCCATTTTTCGTCTTATTTCCATTGGGAACTGGCCTAACTGGTGGGGCAAAAAACTATTGATCTGCTTTGCCTAAGTGGTGGCTAGAAGGTACAAGAACTACTATGTATACAATAGTGTGGCCATTAATTTCTTCATACTTATTTTGCATCTGATATGCACTGGAGATGAAAGACACCCCTGGGCTCCCTCCTGTTGGGGTACTTACATTCTAATTGGAGAAGACAAAATATAAGATAACAAATAAGAAGAATTACACATTAAATCATGTATCAGACAAGGTACTTGTATCTAGAATATATAAATAATTCTTACAATTTCATTATAAATAATAGCAAAGGATCTCAATAGACATTACTCCAAAAAAAGATATGCAGATGGCTAATAAGGAAATGAAAAGATGTTCAACATTGTTTGTCATCCGGGAAATGCAAATCAAGGCCACTTCACACCCACTAGGATAGCTATAATCAAAAGATGGATAATAACAAGTGTTGGTGAGGATGTAGACTAATTGGAACTCTCATGCATTGCTGGTGGGAATGTAAAATGGTTGAGCAACTTTGGAAAAGGGTCTAACAGTTCCTCAAAAGGTTGAACATAGAAAACATTATGCTAAGTGAAAAGAAGCCAGTTACAAAAAACCACATACTGTGTAATTCCATTAATATGAAGTGCCCAGATGGGGGGGATGAGGACACATTTGTAATACCTTAACTAATAATAATAAAAAAAAATGAAGTGCCCAGAATACACAAATATAAAGAGAAAGAATGTAGATTAGTGGTTGCTAGGACTATGGAGAGGGTGATGAGGTGGGGGTTGAGGGGTGATGGTTAGAGGGTGCAGGGTATATTTTGGATTGATTGTGGTGATGGTTGAAACCTATATACTATATACCATTGAGTTGCACACTTTTTAAAATTTAATATAATTTTATTGATTTCAGAGAGGAAGGGAGAGGGAGAGAGAAATAAAAACATCAATGATGATAGAGAATCATTGATCAGCTGCCTCTTGCACACACCACACTGGGGATCCAGCCCACAACCTGGGCATGTGCCCTGACACGGAATTGAACCATGACATCTTGGTTCATTGTTGATGCTCAACCCCTGAGCCATGCCGGCTGGGCAAGTTGTACACTTTTTTTTTATAGGTGAATCATAAGGTATATGAATTATATCTCAATAAGGCAGTTAAAAAAGGGAGAAATGTTTACAAATTCTGAGAACTAGCCCAATGTGAAAAAACAAAATAAAAGCATATGTGCTTAAGACTGAGAAGGATAAGTGGGACCCCACTTTGGTTTTAGATGAGGAAGTGCTTTTTGTGAAAAGAGGTTGAAAAGTATGGGGAAAAGCTATGAGATGAGTGAGGGAAGGGGCTGTGAACCAGGTCATCAAGTTGTCATCTATAACCAGCATTTTAGTAGAAAACTTGCTCCAAGCTTATTTTTAGAGCTTTTATGTAACTAAATGTAAACAAAGCATTGGTGTTAGTCACAGGGTAAATAAGATGGTTTTAGTCCTCAAGCAGATTTGTGATTTGGAGAGAGATAGTTAAATTTTCACATAACTCATGGCAAGAAGCAAATATGGGGATGGCTATAAATAGCTGGTCTCAAGGTCTCAAAGAAAAAAAATGTCTGTTTCGCAGTCCTACTTTTTGAATCTCATCTTTGGGTGAGAGAACATGGGCCTCCCACATTTAAGGTCTGTGATTAGACTGTTTCTCAGGTTCACCATGAGTTTAAAAATAGGTTGAATATAGAAATTAACTACTGGTTAGAACATCACTGAAATGGAAAACCCACCCAGTTGATGTAGGCCCTTTTAATAAGCTGATATGTCTGTATTGCTCTGCTACCCAAAGACATTTAATTTCTTGTTCTTTTCCAGGTGAACCCTGCCTTGGTCAACCAATTTGAGCAGAGTGACTTAAATTTTGTAGGTCAGGATGTTGATGGGGAGAGGATGGAAATCATTGAACTGGCAAGTAAGTGGGCTCTTCATTTTTGAATTTTTGTGTTGAGCTAACATCTTTTTTTTTGACCATAGACACATGAAGCTGTCTTGATACCCATTTTATTTGGTCTCTTTATTTTCCTCTCTCCTTTGAAATAAATTTGCAACTAAATAGAAAGTATGCAGCTAAGTGTAAAGTATGTGAAAAAACAGACCGCTTGTAATCCTAATCATTTTGGGCCTGTTAGTATGAATGTGCCATACAATGATGTATGTTCTACAAGTTCTATCAGTAGTATGCTTCCTTACCATCCTTACCCCGTTCTCTTGTTGACAGCATCTAGGTTAGGCACTCTGGGAAAGGCAGGCAGCCTACTGTTGAATAGTATTTTTCTTTACTTTCTCCTTTGAGGGAGAATGGCCCAGTGCCGTCTCACTATTGGTGACTGGTATTGACATCTGTTGTGTGTGGGACCTGGCCCCTCATTTCACCTAGTGTCTGCCTTTCCCTATTGCTCATGTTCCATAGTCAAGTGTGGGCCAGTTGCTGCACTCAGGCTTATTTTTTAAATTATTTATTGGTTTTTTAGAGAGAGACATCATTTTGTTGTTCCACTCATTTATGCATTCATTGGTTGATTCTTGTATGTGCCCTCACTGGGGAATCGAACCCACAACTTTGGCATATTGGGAAGATGCTCTAACCAACTGAGCTACTAGGACAGGGCTGCATTCAGACTTCTTAGTGAGATCAAACAAAGAAATTGGACTTCTATTGAGGAAGATCACTGAAGAAGTTGTGTGGCTGGGCTGGGGCACCCTTTAGGAGCAAAGGCACAAACCATACCTGTGTTAGTGACAAGACAGGGGACAGTGTTCTCATTCAAAGCTGCAAAGACAGGGTAAGCTCATGCCTACAGCTGGTCCCAGCTCTCTCTCTTGATTTTCTAGCCCAGGGCTTGCCAGACTTTGGCTGGTGGGCCAGATTCAGTCTGCTAACTATTTTTGTACAGTTCATGATCTAAGAATAGCTTTTACACTTTTAAATAGTGCCAGGGTTTCTCACCCTCACCACCACTGACATGTGGAGCAGGGTAATTCTTTGTGGTGGGGGCTGATCTGAGCACTGCTGTATATTTGACAGCATCCCTGGTTTCTACCCACTGGATGCCAGTAGCACCACCTGCACCACCCTCCAAGCTTCGACACTAAAAAACATCTTCAGACATTGCCAAATGTCCCTGAGGGGCACATTTGCCCCTGGTTGGGAACCACTGTTTCGGATCATCAGGTTTGAAATTGCATTTATTTAGCTCCCTTGCCCCTTCATACCCCCAACTTGTAATCGGTTCTTAAGTCCTGTAGATTCCATCTCTGGAAAGATCTCTTTTGGTTGGGATTGTATTCTCATCCCTACCACCTAGTCCCAGGGTGTGGGGACTCATAACAAGGACAGAGCTCTGGCTGTGCAATGTATGTGACACTAATTTGTTATATAAACCACTCTCACTTATTGAATGCTTAGTATGTACAGGATTCTCTAAAAAGTGGTAGCATAATTTTCTAGAACCTTCCTTTTCACCTATAGCCTTTAGGTTCCAGATAACCTGGACTACTTACTCTTCTAACTTCCTACTTCTTTTTCTATCTTAGCCTATGTCACTATCCTTTGTTTCAAATTCCTTTGTCCCTTCCTTTTCTGTTAAGATACTTCAGGAGTCCCCAGGAGGTAGGAGAGTTGAAGTTGGAAAAGGCATTTTTGAACTTAATAGTATGTTACCTGTGTCCTGAAAGAAGGAAGGCAATGGACATTAGTGTGCACTCCTAGATGCTTCTCACAAGACCCCCATGCTAAGGACTCTGCATGCCTTATGTAAATTACAAGGCTAATGATGTTAATTCCACCTTACAGAGAGGGAGACTGTGTGCAAACAAGTAAAGTAAACTGCTCAGGGCCATCCAGTTAGGACCTGGCTAGGTTATTGACTCCTGCCACCACTCCTGTGGGGTTTTATTGTTCCTTCGTTTTCATTGGACATTCAATTTAAGATTATCAATCCATGTTTTGAATTAGAATATGAGAATTTATTTCCCATAGTCTTTCTAATGGGAATGCCCATCATTTAGAATTTATATAGTGTGGATCACTGGCATGTATGTGAGAGGTCAGAGACTTTCTTAAACAGATTATTATTTGTTTACTTGGTTCAAATATTTATTCTCTGTTAATTCTCCTGGTTTTCATTATTTTCAGCAAATATGAGAAGTCTCATCACAAAGTTTTAGCTTTCCATTGACACTTGCAAATTTCATGTGGGTTGCAAAGGAAATGAGAGCTGCTATAAAACCTTGCAAGTTTTAAAAGCTGACCACAGGGAATTGATTTTATTATGAAAAATTCTCCAGAAGATTTGGATCTTAGCTGCCTCTTAGAAACATATCCATGAATTTCTATATTACTAAAGCAATTCTAAAAGGAACAACAAAGCTTGAGATTAGTATAATGTCAGAATTTGGTTCAAAGCAATTAAGAGCATTATTTAAAAGATACTTTGACTGATAGAACATCACCAAAATAAAAACTTTATAGTCTCCTTCCTCATATTAGCATAGGGGGTTTTTTGGATAAAGTGATTCAGAGCAATGATCCATTCATTTAAATATTCTGTCCCTGACTCTGACATGATCCATTATTCAGCTTCTGTCTGCAATGGTACAAAAACACAATTACTGTCTGCTTCTTTCAAAGATATCACTAGATGCTGTGCTGTAAGATTCATTGCATCTTAAATTTAAAGCTGCACTGCTTAGTTTCTTTTCTAAGTGTAGATGATTTCTCTTCTACTTTTCTTGAGGGGACACATTCCTGAGAGAAGTTGGCATTCCCCTACCAAACTTTCGTTCCTGAGTGTCCCTTTAATTTAAGGAGGTTTCTTCTTAGATGTGATGAACTAGTAGAGCAAGTATGTCAAACTCAAAGGCTAACATGGGCCAAATAAACAAGGTTTAATTTTATGTGGGCTGCAAAAAACCAAAAGCTTCCATTTTCATAGAAACATAGATTTATTTCAATAGAGACATGCTGAATACAAAGGGCTGAAATAAATGAGTCATCGTTAACATAAAATCATAGAACATTTTAATAAAAATTAATATTTTTCTTGAACATTAACTTACAAACACTAAATAACTACACAAATTAATAAGTGTAATGCAAATAAGCCTATTTTTCTTGTTCTCCGAAAGTGAAATATTTCCTGTTGCGCACACCAAAAACAAGTTAGCCCAAGACTAATGATGTGGCCATCAGCTCTAAAATATTTGCTGCTAGTATTACTGGAGAGAAATGATGTGCATGCACATAAGGGAAAGGAATGCAGCACGATTCTAGTAATCAGTCATTAGCAAACTTTGTAGTTCGTTATTAATAACTAGAGGTCCAGTGCACGAATTCATGCATGGGTGGGGTTCCTTGGCCTGGCTGGTGATCGAAGCCTATCGGGGGGGCTGGCCATCTGGGAGGAGGGGCTGTGGGAGGTTGGCTGTGAGAGTGCACTGATCATCGGGGGCAGCTCCTGTGTTGAGCATCTTCCCCAGGTGGTCAGTGTGCATCATAGCGACTGGTCGACCAGTCATTTCTGCCATAACAGTTGCTTAGGCTTTTATACAGTAGGTCCTCAGGTTACATCAGAGATCTGTTCCTATAGCTCGATATAACGCAATTTTCGCCGTAATTTGGAACCCACCTACATAAGCACCTACGTCACTCACATGGAGCACATACAAAGCAGTAATGAAGTGAAAAAGTAAAACAAATTTACCCCCCAAAACCACAGCTGCCAAGTCACCGCAGCTCGGCAGCGCCTGCATTGAGCATCTGCCCCTGGTGGTCATTGTGCACCATAGCTCTGGTTGTTCAGTCATAACAGTCGCTTAGGCTTTTATATCTATAATTATGTATAACAGGATATTGTAAAAATGAAGTTACGAAATTTTTATTAAAATGTTTCTTACATACCGTTATATTGGCTGGGCCACAAAAATATTCGTTGTGGGCTGCATGCAGCCCGCAGGCCATGAATTTGACATGCTTGATGTAGAGGATTTCTACACTGGATTTTTGTAGACTCAGAGCTGTGCATAGAACTTGCTGCAATGATACAGTGTTCTGCCCTATTCAGTATGGTAGCCATATATAACTATTGAGTATTGAAACATGCTCAATTAATTTGAATAAATTAAAATAGCCATGTGTGGCTAGAGGCTACCATTTTGTAGAGCAAAGCTTTA